CATTCATCCATCCATTTTCTGACACACTTTATCTCCAGCTGTCTACAGGCGAGGTACAACCTGGAAGAGTCACCAGTCCATCACAGGCCAACACAGAGACAAACAGCCATTCATACCTAAGGAGAATTTAGAGAAGCCAATTAACCTAACAGTCATGTTTTTGGACTGTGGGAGGAAGCCGGAGTTCCCAGAGAGAACCCGTGCATGCTCAGGGAGAACATGCAAAATCCATGCAGAAAGACCTGGGGCCCGAACCTGAACCTGCAAGCTTCTTGCTGCAAGGCAGCAGTGCTACACACTGCACCACTGTAAGCCAAAATATTGTAAATAATCTCTTAACTGTTTATGGATTCAGACCTGTATCTTTTCTAAACATCAGACTTGAATTTTTATAACAGTATTATTTTACCATCCCTGTCTAGGAGCTTCATTTTTATTTTCCAGTATCGCCTGAGAATGCTTGATGTCATTATAACAAATGTTTAGACCTGATAAAAAAATAAATAAATAAATAAATAAAAACCTTAGGGAAAAATCAAGATTTACAACTTGGTCCTCTGCCAGCTCAATGTTTATAGTTCTGTCTTACCTACGCTAACTGCCTGATTGCCCCTACAAACTGCCACTTGTGAGTCAAGGGCTGACTGACTGGAGCAGAAATCAGCCATTAGCGCGCAGCTACAAGAAGCTTCTTAGCAACAAATCAATAGATTGCTGCTCATTGTATTTTCTGGGAACACTTAAGGGCAAAGCTCTCGAAGAGACACAAACAAAATCCTGCAAAGATCTTTTTTTTTCCTCCAGATTTCATGTGTCTCTGCATGAGCTGGTTATAGCATGAGCAGTATTCTGAAAATATCTGAAATATGCAACTTGTATGCAGGATCATAATTGAAGTGGAAATATAAATAAAGCATGAGAGTGTGTGTTTATGTTTGCCTTCAGGCCCAAACAATGCAAGTTTCAATCTGCTGCTCGAGATATGATTACAGTGGTTTGCATCTTCTTTCAGCGGCATGAATGTGGTCTTTTTATCGGAGTGCAACAAACAGTGGTTACATCTCTTATACCCTTATAATAATTCCTGTCTAACTATTTAATCTTTGAAATTTCTTACAAAACCAATAAAGACAAATAGACTTAATTGAAAACCTGAAGGAAAGAATTGTATTTGTAGGATAATCATACAGCCCTAGAAAGTAAAGTTTTTTTGCATGTTCTGAAGAGCTGAATTTACATTCTGGCAGCAATTATATCAATCCTGAAGGTTGGACTTTGGTTTTGTGCTTTGTGGTCCTGGTTGTCAGGATCTCTAGATGTGGTCATGGATTATAGGCATTGGAAAGTAACAAAGTAAATTTACTTGAATACTGTACTTAAGTATTTTTTGAGTATCTTTACTTGAGTCATTTTTGTGGGGGTACTCATGCTCAACTATATTTCAAAGTCAAATATTCTGGTAAAGATTCTCATCTATCCAGGTCATAGTCATTCCAAAAAAAGACAATTAAAAACAATCCGCTGGACTTTGTTTCCAAGTTTGAAGACGTTTCGCTTCCCATCCAGGAAGCTTTTTCAATTCAAAATGTCAGGAATAGCGTTGAGTTCTAGGCTTTATAGAGTAGCCCAACAAAGCCTTGTTTTTGTTTTGAAAACATGCAAATTGAAACAGAAGAAGGGGTCCACTCCTTTGAAATGGGGGTCATTTGGCTTCTTTTGTTAGCTTGCAATGCCCCATACCCATCTAAGTGTCTGATAGGGGGGTTGTTAAAGGGAATTATTGGCCTGGCTGAATAGACGAGGTCATCCACTCTGCTATACAGGGGCAGGGGCTGCTATGATAACAGGAAGGGATTAACTCAATTGCTGCATTGTAGGTTTTTAAAAGCGAGTGGACTCAGGTCCACCCCCCCAACAAGAAAAGCCAAACTACCCCCATCCCAAAGGGGTGGAGCCCTTTGTCCATTTCACTTTGCATGTTTTCCAAACAAAAACAAGTCTATGTTGTTAAAATAACCCATGCAAATTTCCATTTAAAGATTCACTATTTTCAATTATTTGTAGTTACATTTAGCTGTTTCCAGTGCCAATGAATAGTCTTTGGTCCTGTCCTAATATTTTTTATTATCTTTATATCATTATTACTTAAAAACATTCATCAACAGCGTCGATCAGAAACATGTCATTATGCATTTTAATCCCCTATCAGGATCCTAAATTCAAATTTGTTTTATCTTTAGATGCCTCTAACATAATCACCTAAAATATCCATGCAAAAGCTCTTCTCTGCTCCAGTTCAAATCATCCTCCTCCAGACATATTGTACTTGTAATCCTCTTCTTATCTGACAAGAAGCTTTAAAGATTTGCTGTTATGGCTATAATGTACTTATCTGTTTCTATTTTAATAGCTTCAACTGAAACTCATTCATAAAGTAGTCTAAGATTTCTCTGTTTCTTGTTTTTTTGGTGTCTTTCAAATTCTTTCATTATCAAATCATTCATTTGTTTTTAAAAAGTCAGAAAAATGAATAATAATTCAAGGGGAAGATAAAAATGGAGGAAACCACCAAGAATATGTTTCTCATTTAGCAGCGTTTGTTGAATATAAGGCAAAATGGTTTGATCATGTCACCTTGATAATCACTGTAATCCACAAAATCTATTTTTCTGAAGTGCATTCTGAACAACCTGTAAAACCAGTACCATGCTTGTCTTGATGGATTTTCTTCCCTCCTCTTCTTCCTCAGGCTCATCCATCTCTCCTGCTGCCCTGGCCTGCAGCGCTGTCATCGATTGATCCATTCATCTTTTCTTCTCTTAAAGAAGTTGCTCGCTCTGATTTGTTGATGAGGGAGTTCCTACATTCTCAGCCCAACTTCACTTTAGATCATTTATATCTTTATAAACTGTTTGACTCATGCATGCAGCTGTCTGCTAAGAAAACTTCTTCCCTTATGCTATCTAATTATGCTGTGAGGATCTGATTTTATTCTAGTCAAAAACTGGCACCTCACATAAATTTAGCATCCTCTTTTGTTTTTCCCCCTACAAAGGATGAAGCGATTAAATTACAGCCATTTGTTCTACCGTCAGTCTTGCAGTGCGGTGGCAGCTACCTCTTCGGCAAGGATTCTCTAAACACTTCCTGCTTTGTCATGAGAGAATAGGGCAGAAAAACACATTGATGATTTTTTTTTTTTCTGCCTTCATGTTGATGTATTCTGAGGCACTGGGGTGTTATGGTAGTTTGCTGCTCCTTATTGCTCCTCCCCCTCCTCTCTGTTGCTCCTCATCACTCTCCAATATATTTCTCCGTCTGCAAAGGCAAACAAAACCAGGCAGGCTCTGCTGTGTTCTTGTTGCCAGATTCACTTTCAATGCTCACAGTAGGATTATGTCATGATTGCCCTAAACAATCAAACCCTGCAGATTGAAGTGGTGCATCATTATAACCTTGAAAGACCTTCACTGGCAGAGAGAAAGGAGTCAAGAGGGCCTCATGCGTCATAACTGTGCAGACAGCAGCCCCTGTTGATCGTGCAGAGAAACAAACAAAAATATACTAAAAAGACAATGCCTATTTAGCTTAATACCAAGGAAGTTGTATTTTATACAGCCTATTGATAACAGCTGGCTATGCATTTCTGACCATGTGAGTCAGAAGTGATGAACTGCATATTTGAATCATGGTACGACGATAGAACATGTGTTATTTTAGATTTAACAGTTTTGTAAAAGTCAAATCAAAGACCAAATTCAAGTTTAATTTGCAGTACCATCCACAAGACTCTAACTACATCTTTTAATTCATAATCCTACTTTAGATACAAAAAAATATAATCTCTTAAATTAAGAATGTTTGTTAAGTGGGGAATATACCCAGACTGAAAGAAAGCATGAAACAGTTATTCATCAGTAAATGTATACTTTATTATGTCAGCCCTAATGCCTCAAATGCTTTCATTTATAACCCATACTCTGTTTTTCTCGTGTATAAACATGGCATAGATGACTAGTTTCTGACCACTCATCAAAATGAGAGAGAGAGAAAATACAGATGTGTATAGATCTTTGTCTGGGGTAGAAAAGGATTACATAGAACAATGATTGAAAGTTTTCCCATCAGAGTTTAGTCAGTTGAAGCCACCAGCACAGATAAAATTTGAGGTGTTGAGGTACAGATTAACAAAACAAATTGTGGAATTTCCTCACCGAAAAAAAAATAAAAAATCAGGAAATTAGTTCAGTCTTAAGACTATATTGGGGTATTCAAAATATAAAGAAAATATATAATATTTCCTGGTGCAATCTGGGGTAGGAACAGCTGAATTCATGTATGCTTGCATGTGTGCATGCATTGCCTTTTGTATCTCTGCTTCTGTCTCCTTGAACCTCAGTCAGCCTCGGCAGATGGACGCTCTCACTGAGCCTGCTTCTGCTGGAGGTTTCTTTCTGTTAAAAGGGAGTTTTTCCTTTCCACTGTCACTACAAGCATGCTTAGTGTGAGGGATTGCAATGAGTCGATGTAATCAACGTGTTTTCCTTACATAGAAAACTTTGAATCAATTTGACTGTATGATCTGGTGAGCTGTAATGTGCGTTGAGATCACATGTGTTGTAAATTGGCACTATAGAAAAAAACTGAAATGAAATAAATTGAAATGCATGTATGTATGCATGCATTTTTCAATAAATCAATTTA